GAGCTCTTTTTAGTAGTCAACCAAAAATAATACACGCTTCTTCTTTTTTTTGGAGGGGGCCTAAACATGGCACAGTGTATTTAATTTTCTATGTATTTTATAGTAAGTAAAACAAAATAGACAAAATAATGTCTAGGTTTTTTTTTTAGATTGACCAGTGATAATTATAAAATAACTGTTACTATATGCAATTGCATTTTTATGTATCCAGTTTATTGGGACACTAAAATAAAGTTTATAGTAAAAGATATATACAAATAAAGTTTTTTTTGTTCATTTCTGTTTTTAAATTGCTAAAGTAAAAACACAAAACACAAAAATACACTGCCTGACCAAAAAAAAAGTAAAGAGCCTTCCACTGGATAATAGGTCTAGGTTCAGCAATGTTATGTCCCCAAAAAATAAGGTCAGCTGCCTACCTGAATGACCAGGTTTTTCTATCCGTGGATCAACGGGCATATTCCAAGATGACAAAGCTAAGATTCATTGGGCTCAAATTGTAAAAGAATGGTTCAGGGAGCAGGAGACATCATTTCCACACATGGATTGGCCACCACAGAGTACAGACCTTAACCCTATTGAGAATCTTTGTGATGTGCTGGAGTAAGTTGAGTCCTGGTTGTAAGAAAGACTGGTAAATTAAAACTTTCAGGGCTTGTTCACACCAAATGCAGACCAAAATTGCATGAATTTCTGCACATGCAGTGCAGTGTGCTATACTGCGTTTTTGGCTGCATTTTTGCTGCGTTCCAGGCCGTTTTTGGTAAAAAAACAAAACTGTATAGTTTAAAATGGGCTTTTAGGGCGTTTGCATGCATTTTTGATGCGTTTGCACGCGTTCCAGAGCAGGTAAAATAGGGCTTGCTGCAGTTTTTCTACATGCTCTGGAACTGAACTCTGCAGTGTGAACTAGAGCCAAAAATACCATTGGAATACATTGGACGCAGTTTTGATCCTGTCTGTAACTGCTCTGCTCCTGGAACGCACTTGGTGTGAACAAGCCCTCAGGTTTGCTGCAACTGACTTCTGTGCAAAATATAGTACTTTGTAATAAGGTGCAGCTGACAGCAACAGCGAATTACTATGTAAAATGTTACCATAAACTGATGTTAGAACATTCTGTAACAGTGATCAGTTCAGACAGAGCTGCTAACAGTGGCTCTACAGACCAGGACCTCATCTGTCAAAGTGATAGCAGGGTTCAGCATACAGCCAGGAAGAAAGGTAAGTCATATGAGGTACATTCTTAACTGGTAAACAGAATCACAAGTGAAATATTTAGTATTTCCTCCAAACCAGCGGTCGCCAACCTTTCGGACCTCATGGACCACTAAATTCATCATTTTAAATCCCGCGGACCACTAATATGAATTTAAAGAAATATATATATATATATATATTTTTTGTGAGATATGCTGTATGAAAAGGAACACATACCAAACATATATTGGGGTTTTCTGAAATTTTACTGCAAAAGTGGAAGGACACTTTAAAGTAACCATTTATTATTTTCACTGGAGTGCAAGTTACACACATGCGTTTTTCTTGTCGGTATTCTTTGCACATTGCATCACATTGATTCACAGTTAATATTTAGTGCATTTGATTTTTCATTATGGATATTTTGTAGCAATTACAGGGTATAAAAAAGGTGGTTGATCCATTTTATTTTATCATGCCCGACTGCCCACCTAAAAGCCAAAATAGCAGCTGCTCAGACTTGTACACATGATGCAAGCAATTTTAAACTGCATGTTGCATTTAACAAACATAGCAATAGGGCTGCACCACAGCTGCCTACCGTTTGGCATGGAGTTGGAGCATGGCATTGCAGTGCATAATCCTCAATGGGATAATAATGGGAAAAAAAAAAAAAAAAGAGTGAAAAAACAGGCATTCAGGAGGTGGCAGTATAGACTCCTAAATGCCTTTAAACTGGCTGTCAGCCACCCCCAAAAAGTGGTCCACTGCAGACCAATCTTCAGAGGGGCAGTGGAGCCTACCGCCCATGTGAGCGAGGCCTAACTCTGTTCTGGTTTCTGGCAAAAGCAGTGAACCAATTACTTGAGCAAAGGGTTAAAATTTTGAGAAATCGTGTGCACAAAGTACTGGAGCTATGGTTTCAAAGAGAAACATTTTCGATTTAAAGTCGAAAATCAGATGGCTGCTAGAAAAACTGGACATTTTAAAGTATTTATTATTTGATAATATTACAATACAACATGTGTTGTGTATCAAATCTGCACATTCTATTGATTCATTAGGAAAATAGGAGTCTTACTTTACAAGATTCACACAGAGCACAATGTAGATTTCTAGAATATATTTTCTTTATTATGGAATAACAACAATAATTCCTCACTGGGGAAAATGATCCAACATTTATACCAGTATCTGAAAGGACATGTGCAGTGTATGGTTTTGTCCCCAAAGAGACACATTTTACTAAAGTGATGCTAAACTCAGGAGTTACATTTAAAAAATGCATTGAAGTACCTTAACTATGGACCCTACTGTACGTTAATTGTGTATCACTCGGCTGTAGATCCTCAAATCATCTCTGAAGTGGTGCCGACACTGTCCTTCCTTCCTTCTGGAGGGTACTTTTGTTTTCCATAGTCCCTGTGTGTGTGTGTTGTAAAGTAGCCACCACTCCAAGCTCGCTCCTGTGATGGACTATAATCTCACGTTTAGTTTACTAATTTGTATTGAGATTGTAATCCATCACAGCTTGTAGTGATGGCTACTTTACAACACACACAGGGACCATGGGAACCAAAGAACAGTGTCAGTCCTTCAGAGATGATTTGAGGATCCACAGCCCAGTGATACACAAATAAGATACATTTTTGTTAATAGTTAGGGCACTTGAATTCATTTTTAAGAGTTAACTCCTGAGCTTAGTGTCACTTTAACTTGCAGCCCTTCTTATACCTCACCCAATGGCAACAAGTCATTTTGTACCATTTTATAACGTCCCCATATAAAGCACTTTGAATGAGAAGGTCTTCAAAGATGTAATAAACGTAGCATGCGTGCATATACTTTAGGAATGTTGCTTTTTCGTGATGGCTCAAAGGTTGATCACAATAAAAGTCATATGCGCAAACAATTCCTTTTCTACAATGGGCTGATGGCAAAATTATATTTTACTGGCTATTACCCTCATTTACTCAAATATATATAAACAAAATCTAGGTGATTGTCTAGAAACAAAAAGCACAACATGAACAATTCTTGAAATGTTTTCTTTTTTGTAAACTGTTTCTCAATGGAATATTGATAACAATACACAATATATAATTTGTCATAGACTGAACGCTGTGCTAACTTGACATTTCAAAGCATGAGTATTTATGTCACTATATTTTTTTTTTATCATTCTTTGACTTACTCCAAACCAAAAAAAAAAAGGAATAATTTATCTTCCTCTCACATTATAAATCTGTACATAGATTATTTACCATGTTATATATTAGGTTCCTAAAGGAGAACTCAACTGAATACACACAGTTTAGTTTTGGGGGATGAGTACTTAGGACACAACATTATACTAGTTTCTAAAAACATGATATAAAAATCAGCCACATTAAAGTCCTCTCCTCCTTCTATACTCCAATCATCCATACTTGACAGTAACATCTAGTAAACGTTTCTCACACACTTTTAGGTACTTGCAGCAGGAATAATACTTAGGAACTAGACTACTACCTTGTGCTTTCCCGTATTATATGTAATTCAGTATTACAAATATATGTTACATTCCAATGAATATTGTTATATTACAAATAGTAAAGCGGAAGTAAAATCAGAATGTTAAAAAGTGCCGACAGGCAGGTGTTTTTAATGACAGAACAGGCTGTGTACGTCTCCTCTGTCATAGATACTTTTGCCTGCCTGTAAGCACTTTTTTCTTTTTGTGTGCTCAGTGTATAGTCTGAGCACAATTCTATGCCAAGCCAAGTAACTGCCGTGCGCATGTGTGGGAGTGATATCACCTCAACCTGGCCAGTCAGTATAGCCAAAGACTCAGAACCTGGAAGAAGATGGAAGAGCTGGTGACAGAGGGGAGCGTGCACACTGCAGTGCTGGAGGGGAAGGCTTTGATTTGTAAGTCTGTCATATTGTCCATACTTGCAGATTATGACAAAAAGCTCCTGGGGGCCCAACACTGGTCATTTTGTATAGTTGTTTACTTCCCCATTGAGACTTGTGGGTGATCAATAGATGGAATTACAGTAAGTTGCTGTACATAACCCAAGTGCACAGCAAATTTTATTTTAGTCCAAAGTCTGGCCATTTGTTTTCTATTTATTAGTCCCCCTCTCCCTGTTGCACTCTCACTCTGTGTTTTTTCTTTTACTTACTTTCCTTTGGGAGCACTTTAATCCTCTTATTTGCCCCTGTGACATCATCACAGGGGGTCGCAAGCTCATTAGTTCACCGAAGCCAAAATGATGGATTCTAGAGGGTGCCGTGTGTCTGAAGAACTCACTCCCGTGATGGACTACGATCGCAATACAAATTAGTAATCTCATTACAAAATCTCTCTATACATGAGATAGTAGTACCTCCCAGGAGTGAGTTTGGAGCGGTGGCTACTTTAAAAAACACACAGAGATCATGGGGAACAAAAGTAGTCACCCTCCAAATGCCTCTTGATCCCATCATCTTCTTCATTCCACTGATTTCCGCAAGTCCCTCCAGCGCTGGTGCCAGCCTCTGATCCACCGCAGACTCCTTGGGTCCACGGTGTCTGTACGACGTGCAAGCTCTCTACTGCGCATGCACCCCCACACTCCCCCCAGGTGTTTGTGAGTCAGGAGATCGTCAGCTGGGATTGAGCGGTGCTGGAACACGTAAATAATTAGGTATTTGCCTACTTTTTAAAAACATTTTGGTAATCATGGGTCGTATATCTACTGCTTACTATCAGTAGATATATACCACAAAAATGTAGACTTTAATTATACTTTAAAATGTCTTGTAATACTATGCTGTCATTTCTAATTATTTTCATTTAAAGCTAAACTGTTTGCATTCAGTGGTGTTGTACCTTATATAGATCAAACCATTAAATATCTAGACAAAATCATCAACTTTACTAAACACTTTCAAAAAGCTTTGGTTAACTCTATGATGTGCAAATTAGCAATTGGCAGACATCAGCAAGCCGTTTCCATCAGTTAGATGAGAGTCGTCGGTCACCTGGAACAGTATTGTTGAGCTCTGCTGTGATTTAGCTCAGGTCGTAGCTGTACATGGTGCTATGCTTTAGAGGCGGTTCTCTGAATATGGGAGAATTGCAATATGGGAAGCAGAAGCCGGAAAGCGTCCTGGATATAAGTTGTGCTGTTATTTCCCTAGGAAAACAAGAACAGGCCAATAATTTAGCATCCACTAAATGCTAAGGCATATGAAATAGGACAAAGAGCAGTAATGTGCAGTTCTCATAGTCAACTATACATTTTTACCCTTTACATTTACAGCAAACAGGTAAAAAACTGAAAAGCTTTAGCACAAAAATAAGGAGGTGATTTCTAACATGTCAGCACAGCGTATATCTGTAAAAACAACATTTGTAGCACATTACTACCACTAAATGGTGCTAAGGAGCATAGGTATTTCCTATGCTTCTCATCTTCATCTAGTGGCTATAATGAGCAGTGAATGTTGTTCACACAGGTATGCAATGTGCTAACACGTTATACATCAGCCACTAAGTATCTTTATTTTAGCCATGGAATTTTCAAATGTCTTTGGACCTAAATGAAAATAATGGTATCAAAGATACAAACATACCCAAGGCTTGTGCCTGAGGCTACCTCACCATATAAAGATATTTTATCTGATTTCTTCTATGGATTACAGTGCTTTGCAAATAATCAACACAGTATTCACTGTCTTATTAAAACCCAACTCCAGCCGAGACTTGTATTTAGTCCTGAATATAGTGGGGCAGTTTTAGCCTACGTCTCATTTAGGAGATCTAGCCTCATTTCCTAATTCGTCTGACCTCGACAGGACCCGAGGGAACCTGCCTGACAAGGATTCTAAATCTTTTTCGTGCTACTAGAAACTTTGTATTTCATACTTCCTGTCTCCATAGTGGATGGATTTCCTGCCACTTTCTTTTCTGTCTATTGTACCATCGCACTCCTGACTGATAGATCCCAAAACGTATAGTGGGTGCTGCACAGACATGTGGATGGCACCGCAATTGAAAGCAGTGAGGAGGAGAGTCACCAGCACACCAACTGTGATGTAACCTCATCTTTATTTGACGCAAGTTCATAACATCATATCTTTGTGATATTATGAACTTGCATCAATAAAAGACAAAGTTGCATCAATATTAGAGTGCTGGTGCCTCTTCAACTCAATGCTTTCTTTTCTGCCTGTCACCTGTCAGCTATAGAGGGGATAGGAAGATCTGTTCTCAAGGGTGATAAAAAAAAAATCAGAATAATATTTGTAATGGAGAAACAGAATTTGAATTGACATTACCTCTAGCTGTATACTGTTGATCTTAGGATTTAAGACTTCTGCCTTTAGCTTGCTCTGAAAAACAAACATCATGTATTAATGCAACTTCCAATAATTACAGGCTGTGAAATCAAACTTCACATCTAGTGTTGACCTAACAGAAATGCAATTTTACTGTCATAGAAAAGTAAACAGTAACAGTAGAGTATAAAGTGTGAGATAAAATTAACCAAAAAAGCTCTCCATAAAAGTACTGTGAAGCACAGCACTGCCATTTTAAAGACTAAGGCTGCGTTCACACCTGAACGTTTTGTAGCGCGTCCTACGCTCGACGAACGCGCTACAAAACGGTCAAAAAAATAAATAGCAATGCCCTCGTTCCCACCTAGGCGTATTTCCGCCCGTCCCTAACGCCCTACAAAACGTCCCACGCCTGAAAAGGTCCCGGGACTACTTTGGGCCGTTTTGTAGGGCGTTTTCCATTGGGATACAGCCAAGTAGCCTTTGGGGTCGCGCAACTTTTTTTACCGCGAAGCAGCATTCCATACATTTTGTGATTCGGAGCCCACAAGTCCCTTCTTCCACCACAGCAGAGGGACTAGTCCCAGCGGTGTCACTGCACTTGTAGTCAACTGATTACTTTCTCCAGTTCTGTAACCGAATGTCAGTACCTTGGTGCGGAGTCAGACCTGAGGCTGGGGGAAGAGTCTGCAGGAGCCTGTCCTTTGCACTTGCGATTGACCGATCATGGTTGCAATGCTCTGCAGGCTCAAGTGCAACATAAACGCACATTTTTTTTCTCCTTTTTGCAGTATGGGTGCATAAAGTATTTTCTTTACAAAAAGTGGAATGTTCCTTTAAAGTAGAACTATGGGGTTAGAGCTTTTCCCCATAGTTCTCCTTAGGGTAACGGGAGGACACAAACTAGCGTCCTCCTGTCACCCTAAGCTCAGTATACCGCGAGCTACAGCTCGCGGTATACTGAGACGCCGCAGCTGAAGTGGATACCGACAATTATGTCTGGATCCGCTCAGCTGCGTGAGTGACAGCTGGCTCCGCCTATCTAGAGGCAGAGCCAGCTGTACTCGCCCCCTCCCTCGTCCGTTCCGCCAGTCAGCGCTGGAGGATCGGAGCGGGGAGGGGGGACTTTCTTCATGTAACATTTTTCTACTGTTAAAGGTATATTTTCAGAACTGTTTGTAGATTCTACCTCTTTGTATGTCACACGGTGCAATCAGTATCCTTGTCGAGCAACTGCTGAGATAAAACCCAAGTACACAGTAAATCTTCTAGGGATTAGGAATCTGAACTGGCTTATAGACTTGCATGAAGAGGAGCAGTAAAAGGACAATGTCCAGCCCTATTAAGCAGAAAATGCAACTTTCTGCTGTACTGTAATAAGAAAATACAGTTGTCTCTATAAACGCATAGAATGAAACTATGAATACAAAAAATTTTCTTTACATGACAAATTCTTTCTTGAAAATTAGACCACAAATACTGAATACTTACCCCAACAGTGGTCAGAACGGAGTCAGACCTGAGGCTGGGGGAAGAGTCTGCAGGAGCCTGTCCTTTGCACTTGCGATTGACCGATCATGGTTGCAATGCTCTGCAGGCTCAAGTGCAACATAAACGCACATTTTTTTTCTCCTTTTTGCAGTATGGGTGCATAAAGTATTTTCTTTACAAAAAGTGGAATGTTCCTTTAAAGTAGAACTATGGGGTTAGAGCTTTTCCCCATAGTTCTCCTTAGGGTAACGGGAGGACACAAACTAGCGTCCTCCTGTCACCCTAAGCTCAGTATACCGCGAGCTACAGCTCGCGGTATACTGAGACGCCGCAGCTGAAGTGGATACCGACAATTATGTCTGGATCCGCTCAGCTGCGTGAGTGACAGCTGGCTCCGCCTATCTAGAGGCAGAGCCAGCTGTACTCGCCCCCTCCCTCGTCCGTTCCGCCAGTCAGCGCTGGAGGATCGGAGCGGGGAGGGGGGACTTTCTTCATGTAACATTTTTCTACTGTTAAAGGTATATTTTCAGAACTGTTTGTAGATTCTACCTCTTTGTATGTCACACGGTGCAATCAGTATCCTTGTCGAGCAACTGCTGAGATAAAACCCAAGTACACAGTAAATCTTCTAGGGATTAGGAATCTGAACTGGCTTATAGACTTGCATGAAGAGGAGCAGTAAAAGGACAATGTCCAGCCCTATTAAGCAGAAAATGCAACTTTCTGCTGTACTGTAATAAGAAAATACAGTTGTCTCTATAAACGCATAGAATGAAACTATGAATACAAAAAATTTTCTTTACATGACAAATTCTTTCTTGAAAATTAGACCACAAATACTGAATACTTACCCCAACAGTGGTCAGACAGCCAGTAAACCTCTTTGATAAGAATGTTACTTCTTTACACATAGCACTGGTTAACCTAAAGGAATATGCAAAAAAATGTTCCAGTGAAGAATGAAATAATTATTTTTTTCCCCCAACAAAGCTTTTGTGAATTATTTGCTGGGGTCTGATCATTTCAGATCTTATCTCTTTCTCTCTTTTTCTAAAATCTTGGCTTGCAGCTGCTATCTCAAGCCAAATATTGGTATGGGAAGGTGGTGTTCAGGTAAAGAGAAGGGTCTGGCAGACATTCAGAAAATGGCAACACAATGGAGTTGGAGCAGAGGATAAAAAACAGAAAATCTGGGATAAGACTCAGAATGGCAGCAATAGCATACTACAGTACCTCTTAGTACTGTAAGGAACCCATTTGTATGCATTTAGTAGAATACATATTGCCATCTAATGATATTAGAGCACCCCAAGTATACTTCTGCTGCTGAGTGTAAATTCCCCCAAATTGTAAGTATTCTGATGAAGGAAGCACGCCTCTGAAACGTGTCAACTGATCTAGAAGGGTTGCAGCTTGTCGGCTACACTGGAATTCCCTGTTCGTGTTTGCTGAAACTTTTTATATGCTGGTTTACTCCTATTGTCTTGGGAGTACATCTTTAACTTTTTTCACATTGTTTTATTAAAGCAGTTTTACACTATGGAGGCGCTCTTTTCCGTTTTTCATGTAAGGAAACATGCACAAGGGCCCTTTCACACCAGCATCCCCTTTACATTGTATGGTTGCTGGTGTGCGTGGCCCGTCACAGCGCCAATGCAGTGATCACGACGCATTGCACTGTTTACCTTTTTTTGGTTAGAAATTTACTGAAATGTCACAAGTGACTAGGGCTGCAGCTAACGATTATTTTCATAATCGATTAGTTAGCCAATTATTATTTTTGATTAATCAGATTAAAAAAACAAACCGAATACCATCATTTATTTAAAACAAAATACACAAATGCAGCATTACAGAGATAATGTTTACTTCAGAATAAAATGGTGTGCACATTTTTGAAATCGCACTGCACTGGAACACAGGGCAATGCAGTACCACGCGTTCCAATGCGGGTGATCAGGAGGCTCATTTGGGATCCATTGAAATGAATGGCACCGCAACGTACCCCCTGCAGCAAATATTGTCAGGCCGAAACAGAAAATTACTTTTCCCACCTTTTATATATATATATATAAATAACAAACCTTTTCTTTAAAATAACACACCCAAAAAATTATTTTTCTGTTTTAAATTTTAGTTCATTTAACTTTATTTTTTGAAACTTTTTTTCTTTCTACTTTATTGCTGGAAGCAATACCCAGCCTGCTATTGGATATTTCAAACTGCAATAGCCAATAGCAGGCTGGCTATTGCGCCCGCCCACTGCCTGCTGTCAATCAGCAGAGGAGGGAGGCGGGGTATGGCTCATAGCCTCTAAATGCAGAGGAGGAACGGGGTGGCAGCGGAAGGGGGCGGTGAAGAGGAGGATTGGGGCGGCAGTGGAGGCACGGGGGCAAAAAAGGACCGAGGCAGCAACCGAGGCACGGGGTCAGCAGAAGAATGCAGTCACAGCAGGAATTGAAAGGGACACAGACCGCAACAGCCAGCACCAGCGGGGAGGAGAACGGAGGAGCAGAGTGGCAGCAATGAATCGATGATGAGAATCATTGCCAACGATTCTCATTATAAATTATAATCGATTAGTTGTTGCAGCCCTACAAGTGACATTTCAGTAAATCCTATGGGCACAGCACTGTGCAATAGAGTTGTAATGCGTCACACTGTACTGTGCTGAAAAAGTGCACTGAGAAGCGGTGGTGTAAACTGAGCCCATCTGAAACAAGGCAAATTGCCTTGTCCTGCATAAAGGCTGCGCTGAAAAATACAGCCAGTGCAGCCCCAACGCATCTGGTGTGAATAGGCCCTTAAAAGAACATATTTTGTGAGTACAATTCTTAACATTTGTCCTTACTTCAATAAATGTATCTACACTAGGGAAGGCGCCCCCTGCTTGTGTTTCTTAAAAGAACATGCCTGACCGGAGAAGATGGTAACAAAGCCAGCCCTATACATAGAAGATTGCAGGCGGAGTGTAAGAGCCCTGTGCTTACTGGTTCCTCTTCCATTATTGTGTGCATGCAAGACTTCTGCATCTTGATACATTTTATATGTATCCTTCTGATTCTGATTTTTTTTCTGATAAACCCAAAAGATCTATGGTGGAAAGCCAGTATGTGATATCTGCCTTACCTACAGTACATTCTATGAAAAACAACTGGTCCACTCACTTTGTTAAGACAACGGCTTGGTCCTTCACTGGCTTCTCTATGTCCTGTCCATGAAGGATCAATTCTGCCACTTTGTGAAGCTGTTCGATGCAGCGAGCGGTGATTTCAGCCAGACTTTCAATAGATGTCATGTACACATCCTAGAGGCAGGAGATGAAATAGAGCTGATAATGCCATTTTATTTCACTTTCACAGTAAAGGCTATTGTTTAACCCCTTCCTGACGGGAGACGTACACTGTACGTCCCGCCACAAAGGGACCAAATGACGAGTTATTTGCTGCATTAGAGGGCTGGTAACCGCTGAGCATCAGCGGTTACCATTCATTAATGGGTGCCTCAGTATAGAGGCATCCATTAATGAAAGGGTTAACCTTTTTCAGACACCCGATACCTTAATATCGGGTGTCTGAGAGTCAAAGCAGAGCGGGCAAACATGCCGGCAAAAGCCAGCATTCTGACAGCTCGTATAGATCTAGAGATATCTCTCTCTCTCGATCGTATACTGGCTTTTTTTTTTTCTTCACTTTCAGCAATAGACACATAATGTATCTATTCCTGAAAGAAGAATGTTTCAGTTTTCTGATCGTCGTTGAGTGACAGCTGAATCCTGAACTGCTGCAGGATCAGTGTCACTAACTTATTATTGACTGTTCTGAAGTTTGAAGCAGCCTAATAATAACCAAAAATTTATTAATTTATCAAGCAGTAATAGTGACATTAATTCGCAATGACTGCTGGATATAATTAAATAAAATAAAATATTTAAAACATTTTAAAAAATTGTGAAAAGTGTAAAGAAAAAAAAAAAAGTGTAAAAAAAATTAAAATAAAAGGACAAATAAACGAATGTATTTATTGCATTTTTCTTAGCTGAGCTGGTTTTGTAAAAAATACTACAAATCAAAACTGGGAAAAAAGTGTTTTTTTTAAAACGTTTTTTCCTCTTTTTTTATATTTTATTTGTCCTAAGTGAGGCGTTAGACACACAATGTGATATAAATATGTAGCCCTATCTGTCCTTTAAAAAACAATATATAATATGTGTGGGTGCACTTTGTAAGAAAGTATAAAGGGGTTAAAGTGGAACTACACCTTCCTATCCCTTAAAGCCAAGGAAGGGGCCATCGAAGCCTCTATTTGGATGGCAGTTGCCATGGTGCTACATGCGTGATCAGCTATACAACCAGCTATTTGATGGCATGAAAGTTCCGTTGAGAGCTGAAATAAGCACACTGGCAACCTTGACAGCTGGCACGCCGCCTTAAAATTAACTGTTTAATAAGTGGGTCAGGTTCCTCTTTAATGTTTCAAATGCATTGACACAGACCTTTGAAACTTCTGTGACCAAAGATCCCAGGTATCATTAATAAAGCAAGCTTCCGCTGAACATGAA